CGATCGCTCTTGCCAAACTTTAACTTGCAGGTAAGCTTTGGCACCGGGTGCAAGTGCGCCTGTGTGGGCACATCCAGCCTCACGCCCACTTACTGTATGGGGCCTCTTGTGCCTGTCCACAGCTATGTGCTCCCACGAGGGTAGGTCAGTTGGGTATCCTCAGGCTGCACTAGGCAAGGCTCTGACTTGGGCAGGGACCCCAGCCTCACCTGTCATCGAAGGCGTTTGCCCGCATCCACATGGAGCCTCGCGGCCCTTAACTGACTCTGCAAAAGCAGTAGCGATGCTTCTCCCTGCTCAGTTCTGGGATAATTCAAGGGCTTGCGGGCTCTGCCCCAGGTTGTCCCCAGAATCACGGGTTGGTGGAACGCAGCCTACATCTGGTCCCCACAGAAGCTGCAAGATTGGCACCCCCCGAGTCATGTGGGTGTGCCAATGCACATGCTGACCCACTGGGCTGCAGCGGGACCAGGACTTGGCAGCTGAGCCCATGGCCCTGTTCACACCCTCTATGAATGGACAGGGCAGCCCCAACACTGCTCGGGATGGGGAGCACGGCTTCAATGGTGTGAGCGATCCAGAATGGCTTGACTCACAGGCCTGAGAGCTGCCTGAGCCCTACATTAGCCCCTGGGCTGTGCGCGCATGTATCCGCCTGCTCGTGCTCCCCAGTCAGTGTTCTGCGTGACATGCTGGCTCCTGTTTCCAGGGGGCTGTGTTCACTGCTGGCTGGGGCTGTCAGTGGGTGTTTTGGAGCTCCCCCTTCCTGAGTAGCTGTCATGGTGCAGGGAGCTGGGGAGGGCTTGTGTGCCCCCTCCCCTCTGCTATGCCCCTTGCCACTAAGGAAGCTTTTGTCCCGTGTCCTGGCAGGCTCGGACTGAACGCACGGTGGTAATTGGTTTGCTGCCCTGACCCCTGCTGTAGTCATGCATGACGCTATAGTGTCTGTCGCCTGCTGCTCAGGGCTTCTACCATTCATCATGGTCCCTTACTCTTGTGTCCTGCCCCTGGGAAAGCAAGGCCTGGGGAGAAGCAACAGCCAGGGCCAGAAACAGGCCTCCTTGGCTGTAACTGTTTGACCATGGCTTCTCTCCCCTGAGCCGTAGAGCCCCTCAATGTAGCAGCAGCCGGTCAGTGTGTATGTGGGTGCTGAGCTTCCACCCAAGGGCTCCCCTGCACTCGGGCACGGGGCAGCTGCAGCCTATACACCCCCACCGCAGGTTCCCAGGGGCCTGGTGCTCAGCTTGCCCTGCTCTCACCGTGCACCTGTGCTGTGTTGCAGGGGGAGGTCAGACGTGACGGGGATGAGGAGGCCGGTGCAGGGCAGGACCTGAACCAGGGCGTGAACCGGCTCATGGCAGCCATGCGGGACATGCTGGCCAACATCCAGTTCCAGGAGCCCCCAAGGGACGACAACCCTGACGGGGATGGAGACGGGGACTGGGACTGACCCCCACAGCTCCCCCTACCCCCCCTCGCTGTCATGCTGTGTGTCACGCTGCAATAAAGTCCCACAAGCCGCACAGGCGCCTCTGAATCCCGTGACTCCTCACCCGCAGGGCCCCTCTGCTCGTTTGAGGACGGGGTTGGCGGGGTGGGGGAAGCCTGGTTGCGCCCTTGTGCCGTCTTCCCCAGCTGAGGGTTCCTCCATTCTCAGCGAACTGAGATGAGGCCTTGGGGGCGGCTGCTGCTTCCCGGAGCCAGCTCTCAGCTTGCTGCCCTGGAGTTCTGAGTCTGTCGAGGTGGTGCCTGCCCAACCTCCACTCCCTGGCACCAGCCCCTCTGCACCCCTTTTCCCCATGCTATTTTGGGGCATGCTCCAGCAAAGCCCCTCGTGTGGTGGCAGAGCTGGGTTCAGGCGTGAGTCTCGCTGCAGCCCAGCCTGTGCCCTGCGGCAACTGGCCATGCTGCTTCTGCCCTTTGAAGTTGTTGACTGAGGCCTTTTTATAGCCGGACTCTCAAAGGCCCCTTTCACAAAGCCAAAAATATTATTGCAGCACGTCACTGCGCTGCTTGGCCTCTAGCGCCCCGGTTGCTGGCAGTCCCTTGTTTTGGGCAGCCCCTGCATTCACACCCAGCTCTGCCCCGACTCCTGCGTCACACAGTGCAGTTACACAAGCTGTCCCCCACCCCGGCTGCGAGTGGTCCCCTGCCAGCTCCCCATGCCTAAAGGCTTCCTTCCTTCTGTTTGCTCGGGAGGGCAGGAGGCCACAGAGGGGCAAAGCTGCGCTTGGTGGTGAGCACGTGTCCTGTCCCTCCCCTGCTGTGGCCCTGTGCCCCTTGCTGCCGACACAGCTGCTCCTCACCCCTTGTCTCAGGAGCTGCTCAAAGCTGCTGGCCATGACATCTGCACCAAGGCTGGCACCTGTGTGGGTTGTCAACCAGGCAGTGTGGCAGGGGCTGGGGGGCTGCTCGGAGTCAGGAAGAGCGAGGGCTGGGGAGGGAGAAATGGCACCGACTTGCTGTGGGCTCACGCAGCGGCAGCTCTCAGGGCGCTGCCCTCCCTTGCAGATCAGCTGCCACCTGAGCAGAGAGGCCAGGCACAGTGGGCGCAGCTGGGAGCAGAGCGCCGGCTCCCGTGGCCTGTTCTGCCATCCCTTAGCTCCCCACGTGCGCGCTGAGGCAGCCTCGACCCCGGGGCATCGTCCGGCATCCTCTCCCCATCTTCGAGCGCAGCCGTGGGCGTGTGTCTGTGCAGCATGCGTGCTCTGCACGGTGCAGGATGAATGGCTGGTTGTCGGGGTGCTAAAAATACCCTGCTGCTGCTCCCCCTATTTTCCATCCAGCCCCACCTGCCCCTGGAGATGCCCAGCTGGGAGGCAGGGAGCAGCGGGGTTAGGGACAGCAGCTGGGCTCGCCTGCTTGAGGCATCAACACGAACCCAGAGGCACATGAAGCTCAGCTGGGCCCTGCCCCTCCCCTGCCACCACCCGCTGGGGTGGAGGGAATGAAGGAAGGGCCCATGGAGCGAGCCCGCCTGCCTGGCGCACCGGGCAGGATGGGAGCATGGTGCTCCTGGGTGCTCCCTGGGCTGACGGAGGCAGGAGAGGATCAGGCCCACGCATGGGGATGTGGAGCTGCCAAGCACGGGGCCGTCTCCCCGTCTGCTCTGGCCATGCCGGGGGCTGCTCTTGGCCTCATTGCCGACAAGGAAAGAGCAGGGCCAGGTGCCGCATCCAGTGGGAGCTGCCTGCTGAGAGCAGTCGGGTTTGGCCCCGGCACTTGCCAAATGGCAGCTGCCCACGGAGGCTACAGGGAGGAGGCAGGGCCCTGAGCTGGCTGCGTGCACGTGGAAGCCCCTGACTCTTGCTGCAGCAGGCACAAGGGCTAGGCCCGGATGGAGATAGGGAGCACCCCACGTCCCCAGCTGTGGCCCCGGGCTCTGGGTGATGGCTTAGGAGGGGCCAGGGCTGCAGAGCCACGCTGGGGACCCAGGTTTTCTGCCCCCCTCTCTCCATGTGTGCACGTAGCTGCCAGGGGAGGGAGCTGGGAGATTGGGCATCGACAGGTGTCCGGCTGAGATGGCGTGCCGCCGCATGGACCACCCCGCCACCAGTGCTTGGAGTTTATGTAACCGCTGGGAAGTCAATGATCTTTTTATAGATACTGATTTCCTGGGGGGGAGCATGTGTTGGGGCAGAGGGGGCCTCGCCGGCGCTGTGCTCCACGGGGATGAGGCCTGCGGCCATGGACCAAGCAAGCCCTGGTGTCTAGGGCTGGGTCCCTTCCCTACCCTGTGGGCACCGGGAGGGAGACCTTGGGCCTGTGGAGGTGGCCAACGTGGGCAGAGAGGGTCCCAGCTTGGCCCCGTCAGCAGCCAACAGGCGCAGGCGCTCGGGGGTCTTCACCTCTCTCTGCTGGACATCACCCCTGGGAGGGCGCAAGGCCCCCTCGCTGGGCACTGCCTGGGGCAAAGCTCCCCGCTCTGCCAGGGCGGTAGCACGGGGGCAGCCGGGCCTGGCGCTCGGCCGTTTCATAATCCCCTCCCTGCCGCGCCGGCTGCCCCCTGCGTGCGACGCTATCATGTGGCCGACCACCCTCCCCTGAAGGAGGAGCCGCGCGCTGCCTTAAAGCAGGGCAGAGAAAGGCTCCTTTCTTTGTTGCCAACTTCTGCTAATCAATTACTTGGGCCCTGGATACACACAGCAGCTGGGCCGGGGAGGGCTGGGCGCCCGGAGACCCCAGCAGGGCGCGCGGCTGCTGCAGGGACTGGCACCAACCCCAGCCACTCGCCCTGGGAGGCGATCACGGCCTGGGGGCCCCTGCTCCATCTCCGCGCCCCTGTGCCGGGGGCCCCGGGAGAGCGGGAACACTGCGTGAGTGCAGAGCAGTTTGGCGCACCCAGCGGAGGCTCTGCCCGCGGCTCGTCGGCTCCTGGGTGGGTCTTCTGAGGATGTCACCTTGAAGTCCTGCAGCAGGGAGCTGGTCTTGCTGGGGCCTTGTATCTACTCCCACCGGAGCCCCCCACGCTCCACCCCGTCACCTCCAGCTCAGCCGGGGCCTGAGCACTGGTTTGGAGCTAGCTGCTGGCCAGGGATCCCCCACAGCCTCCTTCCTGGCGCGCAGACAGGGCCGAGGCTTCGCTCGGCTCCAGCCAGCAGACGCCCCATGGCCATGGTGACGCCGGTGTCTCCCACACCAGCACCATGGGGTGCCCTGAATGACAGCGCCGGGAGCCGCGGCAATGGGACGGGGGCAGGCGCAGGCAGCGCCTGGTGCCAGGGTGTGTTCATCCCCAACGAGCTGTTCCTGACGCTCGGCGTGGTGAGCCTGGTGGAGAACGTGCTGGTGGTGATGGCCATCGCCAAGAACCGCAACCTGCACTCGCCCATGTACTGCTTTGTGTGCTGCCTGGCCGTGTCTGACATGCTGGTGAGCGTCAGCAACCTGGCCGAGACCCTCTTCATGCTGCTGATGGAGCACGGGCTGCTGGTGGTGCAGGCCGGCGTGGTGCGGCACATGGACAACGTCATCGACATGATGATCTGCAGCTCCGTGGTCTCCTCCCTCGCCTTCCTGGGCGCCATCGCCGTGGACCGCTACATCACCATCTTCTACGCCCTGCGCTACCACAGCATCGTCACCATGCCGCGGGCCGTGGGTGCCGCCGCCGGCATCTGGGTGGCCAGCACCGTCTCCAGCACCGTCTTCATCGCCTACTACAAGAACAATGCCGTCATCTTCTGCCTCATCGGCTTCTTCCTGGCCATGCTGGTGCTGCTGGTGGCTCTCTACATCCACATGTTCGCCCTGGCGCGCCGCCACGCCCGCCACATCTCCAGCCAGCACAAGCGCCGTGCCGTCTACCAGGCCGCCAGCCTCAAGGGCGCCGTGACCCTCACCATCCTGCTGGGCGTCTTCTTCCTCTGCTGGGGGCCTTTCTTCCTGCACCTGACGCTCATCGTCACCTGCCCCCGCAGCCCCTTCTGCACCTGCTTCTTCAACTACTTCAACTTCTTCCTCATCCTCATCATCTGCAACTCCGTCATCGACCCCCTCATCTATGCCTTCCGCAGCCAGGAGCTCCGGCGGACCCTCAAGGAGGTGGTGCTGTGCTCCTGGTAGCCCGGGCGCTGTGGGGGGTAGCGGTGGACGCCCCTTCTGTGGAGGGCCGTTGGGGCACAGGTTGAGACTGAGGGGTGCATGACAGGGGCTGGGGCAGCCGGAGATGCCCGGCCAGCTCCAAGACAAAGCAAGGGCATGGTGGTGGGGGTCTCTGTGGGGTGGGAATGACCCCCTGTGGCAGTGCTCCCCCAGGCTCCCTCTGCCATCCTGGAGCCCTTCGCGCCCCCTCAGCACCTTCTTCCCAGCCACGGCTGCCCCAGGCATTGCTCTCCAACCACCCTGGGTACCTCCTGTGCCCCCCCCGCCAGCTGCAGCGGGTGCTGGGCTGAGCAGGAGCCCCTTTGCAGAGCCCAGGGGGTCAGATGGGAGTTACCCCAGAGCTGGGCAGGGGCAGGACACAGAGTCAAGTGGGGCAGGAGTGCATCGCTCAGCCACCCCACCTGCCCTGGGAGGAGGGAGGGTTCCCAGCCCACTCCAGCCTCAGGGGCGCGAGCAGCGTGAGCATACACGGGCGCATGCATCTGGGACCCGGCCGAGCTGTCGCCTGGGTCAGGCTGGAGCAGGGGACTCGGCACCTGCACGGTGCAGGCAGGAAAGCAGGAGCCCTCGCTGCCTGTTTCCCCAGCTCCTGTCCAGCAGCCCTAGGCGAGTGAGGGGGCACGGGGCCGTCTGAGCCGTGGTCCCGTTCTGTACCTTCACTGTATAATAAAGACTCAGTCTGTCAATGCGTGTCTGTGTGGCACTGGGTGCCTGGGATGAGGTGCATGGGAGCCGGTGACCTCGTTGGGCCCGTGGAAGTGGGGGTGATGCTGGAGACACCCCTGGGGACAGCCCCAAGTCAACCCCCAGCCCCCGGAGAGCTGGACCTCACCCAGACCGCGTGCCTGGTGCTCCGGGCCTCGGGCATGGGGGGCACGCTCCAGCTGTCAGGGCTGTGCAGGGGGCACTAACCGCCAGCAAGCAGCCTGCACAGGCAGGGGATGGGAGCGGGGGGCTCTGCCGGTCACCGGCACCAGGTCCAGGAGGCTGGGCCCTGTGATGGATGGGGCCAGGGCCCAGCTGGGCTTGCTCTCTGGCTGCAGGCACTCAGCGGGAGAGGAGCAGAGATGCTGGGGTTGTGCTGGGAGCTCAGCCCCTGAGATGCCAGGAGTCGTTAGGACACAGCATCGCACCCTGAGACCTGAAGCGTGACCCCACGGCTCCAACCGTGGCACCGGCTGGGGGAGGAGAAGGACAGCACGGGACTTGCCCTGCCCAGGCCTGGGGCCGGTGCCTGGGGGCTCCAGAGGGTGGGGGCAAGGGGCCCTGCCCCTGCTCCCTGCTCCGGCGCTGGAGGGGCAGCCGGGAAAGAGGAGCCCTGGGCGTGGAAGCTCGTCTTGCGACTGGTTAGCGTCGTCCTTCCCCGGAGACCCGTGATGGGAAGACTGTGGAGTCATTGCTGTATCAAGCCTGTTTAGTCATCGCTGTATCACGCTCCCGTTCTGCTCCGGGCTGAGCCAGCCTGGCCTGGCACGGCCCCATCCAGCCCTGAGCCCGGGGTAGAGCAGCCCTGGGGCTGCCCTGGCCTTGCCTGGCCTGGGCGGCACGAAGGGGCTTTGCAGGCTAGGACGGGGTGGGGTGACTGGGGCTGCAAGGCCGTGAGGCGGGGTGGATCGGGGGCACAGCCGCATTCCCTGCTCCATCAAAGAGGCACCAGTGCCCTGTTCTCCTGGCTGGTGCCAGGCTCCGGGCCTGGGCCTGGGACGGGGGAAACCGCAGCTCCAGGCCGGAGGCCCCCGGCGCGGGGAGACGGGACCCAGCAGCGCGGGCGAGGCCGACCCGCAGGCTGCAGGCAGGAGCCCCCAGAGCCGAGGGAGGAGGCTTTGTTCTCCCCTGCCAGCTCCCCGCGGCCCCCGCCCCAGCGGCTCTGCTGCAGGCCCCTGCCCCGGCTGCCCTGGGGCCCCGGCCCCCGTGGGGTGCACAGGCCCTGCAGGGCGCAGGACCCCCCAGCACCCCCCG